ACGGACATAACTTGGACAGCCACATTGTGAAACTGATTTAAATTTTTCGCAAACTATCGTTCCTCGCTATACTGGAGTGGTTGCAGTTACGTTTGTTCAGTCGATCAGCTCTTTTTAGCTTAAGTAAAACGTGTCATATGAGAATGGTCGAAATTTTGTCCATGCTGTGTTACAGTAAAACTGCACAAAGAGACAGACCTTCTCCTGGCAACAGTTAAATCCGTTATTACAGTAATAGGACACAAACTGCGTTTTTCATTTATAAACATTCAAACGCTTGCACCTAGCGAAAGTAAATGAAATAAAACGAACTATTGCACTGGACAATACTTAATGGCTCAAAGGCCAGCAGATCATCGTCAGGCAATCGCAGATGATGTACATCATATGACGACGCGACAAAAGTTAATTACACGTTCTTCATGACAACTTTCATTTTAGAGTTAACGGACAAGGACTGACAAAGGCACAGCTGTCCAAGTGTCAACTGAAGCGTTTTCATACGGTCTGTTTTGACTACCTTCACTATGTGTCTTTTCAGGTGTTCGCTTTTGCATCTTTCAGGACCTCTTCTTCGCTGGAAGCATGCTTGCCGCCAGAAACGAAAAGTTCGGCGCTGCTGCACTTTGGCGCTGGTGGCGGCAACGTACAATTACTCTCCCCGATCACGTTCGATCTTATATCGCCCATATAAGCTCGTTCTTCAGATGCCATATCTGACTCATACGAAGTTGAGTTGTGATTCACTATTGAGTCCGCGTTGCATAATTCCTTCTTTTTGCTTTCTGATTCCTCGCGCTTTTGTTTCCGCCATTTTGCTCGTCTGTTCTTGAACCATACCTTCAATGTATACCGTAATCAACGGTAGCACACAGTTCACGATTAACTATTCGGTTACCTCAACTCGTTCTTCTTTAAGGTCAGTTTTCAAAGCTAATTTCTCGCGTAGGAGCACATCCGGGTAATGGGTCTTCTGAAAGGTCGCTTCCAGTTCCACCAGCTGTTCTTCAGTGAAAATGGTCCGGTGGCGTCGTTTGCGTTTATTGCTCAGCGTAAACGTGCTGGGCAAGAAAGAGGGTGCAAAGAAGTTGGAAAAGTTCGCACACGTCGATGAATCAGAGCTGCTGAATACTAGA